AGTCGAAACCCTAGGATCTGTGTCAGTTATCTGCTCCGACAAGACGGGGACCCTTACCGAGGTAAAGAACGAGCCGACGTCGACACCGATACTTCCATTGGTTCTTAACTGATCTTGTTTAGAACCGAATGACTGTCACTGAGTGCACTATTGGGACTCACACTATTACAATTGAGGCGGCCGAGGACGAGTTGGATACGAGTACGGCACCGGCCATTGCCGGCATAGTAACAACAGGTGTAGATCAAGTGTGTGCCATCGCTGGACTCTGTAACGCAGCTGAGTTTGACGCCGCAACCATGGATTTACCTATCGAACAGCGTCGTGTTTTTGGCGACGCTACCGACCAGGCGGTATTGAGATTCTCTGAACGGTTCGGCTCAGTGCAGCAGCTACGCCAATCCTGGCAGAAGACGTATGAGCTAGCTTTCAACAGCAAGAACAAGTTTATGATCAGGACGTTTTCCATGTTCAGGAAGGATTGTCTAAAAGCTACTCTATCAGAGGCTGAGGCGGAAAACTTCAATTCTGGCGACACGTAAGAGGCTCGAAAGAGTCCGAAAGATTCAATACTAACTTATACTAGACTGTTGACTATAAAGGGGGCCCCTGACGTCCTTATTGGCCGATGCTCCTCCTTTGTTAACAATGCAGGTGATGTGCATCTCTTCGACGACGATATGCAAGCATCATTCGAGAACATAAAAAACGCGTACAGCAGTCAGGGGAAACGTTGCATCTTGCTTGCTCGCAAGGTCATTCGCCAAGGCGAGCTACAATACCAATCCGGAACAACTCAATTTGAGGACGAGATCGTCACGCATGCTAAGTCGGACTTGACGTTAGTTGGCCTTGTAGCTATCGTCGATCCTCTGCGTCCGGAAATCCGCGAAGTTGTCTCGACGCTGCGTGGTGCCGGTATAAGGGTATTCATGGTAAGTAAGGTCTAGTAGCCGGGTATTGGGCATTGTATCCCTGCTAACAATATGCAACATGAAGGTGACTGGCGACTTTGCTCTTACAGCTCTTGCGATCGCTCAGGAGGCCGGCATCGTAAGCAGTCCTACACCCTCTGTGCACAATGTCTCCTGGCTCCCTAGGGAGGAGGTAGAACATGAAACGAAGGATCCTACCACCCGCTCGTCGATTCTTATTAGCGGACCGGAACTGCTGGGCCTGAACGAGTACCAATGGAAAATATTAACCGAGTATGAGGAGATTGTCTTCGCTCGAACGACACCGGAACAGAAACTACGTATCGTAAAAGAGTTCCAGACTGACGGTGTGGTTGCCATGACTGGCGACGGTGTGAACGATGCTCCGTCTTTAAAGGCTGCCGACGTTGGTATCACTCTTGGAAGCGGCTCCGACATTGCCATCGAGGCAGCTGATATGGTACTTCTCGACTCGTTCTCGTCTATTGTTGAGGCGGTGCAATACGGTCGGGTGGTGTTTGATAACTTGAAGAAAGTGATTTGCTACCTGCTTCCAGCTGGAAGTTTCGCTGAGTTCTGGCCGGTAATGACCAATGTCATCTTTGGAATCCCGCAGATTCTCTCGTCTTTCCTCATGATTATCATATGGTAAGCGTTATTTGAGCTGAAGGAATAGTTATAGGCAAATATGCTGACGCTACTTAGCTGCTTCACAGACTGCGCTGCCGCGACAGTACTCTCCTACGAGAAGCCGGAGGCCGACGTCCTGCTGCGTAAACCACGTAATATCAAGAAGGATCGCTTGGTCGATTGGAAACTTGTTATCCATGCATATGGTGTTCTCGGCATGATAGAGACCATAGCTTCCTTCGCGATGGCTTACTGGTATCTGGAGAAGAACGGAATACCTTTCCGTGTGCTATGGTTCTCTTTTGGAGATCTTCCTGATTGGATTGATCAAGACTACTATGCTCAAAAGCTGAATGAGGCATCTTCCATTTACTTCGTCAACCTTGTTGTCATGTAAGGAATTATATTGGAGAACTGTAATGGCAAATCGACTAACTTGGCATAGGCAATGGTTCAACTTGCTCGCAGTACGAACGCGGCGATGGAGTATCTTCCAGCATCCTCCCATATTCAATAAACACACACAAAACCTATATCTTTTCCCAGCAGTTATATTCGCTCTAGCAATGGCTATCCTATGGCTTTACATTCCTCAGTTGCAGTCAGTTCTGGGAACTTCGCCTGTTCCGGTGGAACACTGGTTTCTACCCTTTGCTTTCGGTCTGTTCATCTTGATATTCGACGAGATACGTAAGTTTTTCATACGGAGATACCCTAACGGAATTTTAGCTAAGCTGGCTTGGTGATATATAATATTGGAATCATACTATATTGGGGGATTTAAAGGGGGATAGGTGTTTTTTATGAGATGATGAAGACTTTTCGGAAAGCTATGGGGGTTTCACCGTAACAGACCTGCATGCTAATTGCAGGTGATATTATTCTCCAGCTTATTCGTATAATGCTTTATTAGCATCTGTTTATATCTACTATATCCATCTCAATGTTGCTAATCCCGGGTTTAACTACTAGCATATTCCAGCACGCTTTCTCTGGCCTAGATGTTTATACCTAATACTCCTCGGCCTTGGATACATATATTGGATTGCAAGGATCAAATAGCCACACCATCTCAACGCCCCCCGTATGCTAGTCTATATACTGTACCCACAGGTTAAAAATCCAATGGTGTTCTAATGCATTATTAAAAACACACTTCCTACCCCTCTCATTACATCCGCACCACCAACTTCTTGCCTTTCAAGTTCCCCTTTTTCAACATCTCTAGTCCCCCCTGAATCGAGTGTAAGCCTCCATTAATCAAATGTAACTCGGGCAAAATAATCCGGCCCCCATCTAACAGCTTTCCAAGTTCTTCGGTATAGCGGACGTTGCTCTTATCCAGGACGAATTGCTTCATCTCAACTGTATGCACTTCGACGTTCTCGGGAACTACTTGGGAACCTGACATCATAGCTAGCGGTGCGAAGGCGACGGGCTTAGTTTTTGATACGACATCGAGCGTGAGTGTTGCCGTTTTAGGACCTACTAAGTCGATTGCCCGCGTGACATTGTCGTTGGTGATGGCACGAATTTCGTCCACAACCTGTTCATCTGACTTGCCGTCTCTCACCACCACATGGCTCGCACCTAAGCGCTCCGATAACGACTTTGTCTCTACGGAATTAACGGTTATCACTCTGATCCCGCTGAGCCGCGCAATCTGCGTAGCAAATTGTCCCGTGACAGTAGAGCCGCCCCAGATCAAAAGCCATTGTTCCTCTTTGTTATCCGTAGGTTGTTGCGGAAACGGTACGCCTAACCACTTCCATAACGTCATAGATGCCGTCAAGGCCGCGACGCCCAGACATGCTGCGGCCTCGATGGGTACTCTCGATGGGATGGGAAGCACAGTATGCGAGGGCACGACCACATACTCCTGAAAACAGCCGGCACGAACATCCTTATAATACGTACTCGTCCAGACATAGTCGCCCTGCTTAAAGTGAGTAACGGAAGAGCCAACTTGGACTACCACGCCAGACATTTCTCGGCCCGTAACCTGGAGGGTCTTGTAAGTCTTTATCGTCTAGCGAGTAAGGAGGGGTAAGCCTACCCATGGAAATTCAGGCAAGCAGAAATTATAGTCGACAGATTTCCAGTCGATAGGATTCAGGCCGACGTAATGGCCTCGAATCATAATCTCATCATCCCCGACCGTCGGTATCGGGAAGTCATGGCGGATCTCATATTCGCCCTTACGAGCAACGACTAGGGCCTTCTGCATACCAGGCACGGCGAACTCGGCGACAGAGACGTTGGCAGATTCGTCCGTCGTTGTTGTCGGCGTGGAACTTTTTCGTATACCCTCTATTAACTTGGACTGTGATTTCTCATTCTCATTCGATTTCGTTCTTATCTTTCGTAGGAGCGTACGAACTGTTTTCCACGAGTTTCTGCCGACGTAGGCACGTCTGGGCTGCGTTTCCGTCATAGCTGCGATGATGCCGAGTGTGTTACGTGCAAGTATACCGAGCAATTCTATCTCGCAGGTATTTATTTCAGCGGGTGTATCACAGCTATCTTGACATGAACGCAACCCGACCTTGCGATGTCGATAATGAATGTACTTGTTCTTAACTTGTTCTTAAACTTTTTGCCATTATTAATTATTTACAGCTACCGGGACTGGCGGGTCTCTTGTTACATGGCCAGGGGACTTATCGAACCTGATCCGAACCAATGTGGTGAATGTTGTCGCACGCCATCAGCACGCCATCGACTAGGGTGGCCTGCTTACATATGTAAGAGGCAAAGGGCTCCGTGGGGTGGAGTAGATATCTTTCCGATTCGGCCAGGCGGAGACATTTTGATAATTGGTCGGCACGAATGGTACACCAATATATACCTAAATATCGACGTTAGCTACTGATTCCAAGTCAGCTCCGAGTCCGGTACCGTGGGGCGGCTGGTGTAGCTTTGACTATCACGTTACAAATTCAATCGTCATCTTATTAGGAAACGTATTTGACTAAGCTCTATTAGAAATAATATTCTGACCTAGTGTTATGTTTAAATATGTAGAATAGAAACAGATAGTGTAACTACCTACATAGCGTAGAGTAAAGACTAGCAATTAATTAAGACACCTTACCCCTATTTCTCCTTGTCCAGGCATACCTTTACGTGATATTAATCATCACCTTATACATTAATCATCTATTGATCATCAAATTATAGCGGTACCTAAACACCATAAGGCGGCGATGAAATGAGGAACGACAAGAATACCGGGGCAGATTCAGTATACCTAATATAGAATAAGACTGAAATATGTATGACCAAGGAAAAAAAACACTATTTATTTCATTCCTCCTTCTGTGCGTGTCTCTAACGACCACGATGTCTGTTGAAGTCCACCTCATAGAATCTCCATCCCCTAATACACCCCCAACACCCAACAATCAAGCTCTAAGGCTCACATGGATCCCGCCCCTAGCGGAAATGGACCTGCTGCCATAAAGATGGTATAACGTGATTCTTCCTACTGGCGAAGAGGCGCATTGCGGTTTCAGCTTGGTTTCTGTGCGATGCGAAAGTCCACCGCATCATCGATTGCCCTCCCTGTGTCCAGAGATTCTCGATCAGCTCCATGTCATAGAAGAATGCCTGTTGTAGTACCGCAGTTATAGTCACAACGTTGACCAACTGGGTGGGACCTGTGATTTCTATGACTCTGGAGCGATGAGAAACAGGTTGCGCGCCCTTTTTCACGCGGTTTGGCCGTACTGTTGGCACCAATTCGCCAAAGCTGAGCTCGCCATCTTGGACCTTGTTGAATAGTCTCGTCACACCATCTCGTCCCCAGAACTCAACCTTGGCGGCGCATGTGTGGTGCCTCTTAACAGGGTCGTTGATGACAACGGCATATATCTTGCCTGTCCCTCGAAGCTCTCCCAGAAGCGTGGGATAATCAATATCAATGGGTAGGCCTTCGATCCAGACAGCGCAATTCTCATCATCTGTGATATCATCGGGCCTGTTTTTTTCGTTCCTCACCCCGTGGTAGTTGGTCGAGAAGCCTGATATGGGGCTGACGTTATCTACTTCGTCTTCGTCTTGCCCGGTGTTGGCTTGGCCAAAGCCATGCTGAGCCAAGGTCTGAACTTGAGCTGAGCTGTGATGCATGTCTATGATAGGTATATATGATTGGTGTGAAGCGGGTGTATTAACTGTGCCGATGTTAGTCCGGTAACTCTCGAGGAGAGCTTGAAGGTTTGTACTAAACTTACCCATTGGAGGTTGCTGAGGTTGACGCGGAGGGGTGAGATCTTCTCCAAGATCATGAAGGTTCGCGGAACTGTCATCGTAAGGTACGATTGCGCGAATACAATCGACTGGGAAACTGAAGTTCCCGAACATCCCCTTCAATTTTCGATCCATTATGGTGGAATGAAGGTTAGTTCAATCTTACTTTTGGTTGAAAGTAGAGAGGTTCGACGACTTTGGGTTTGTAGTTTAGATTGAAGTTACTTGAAAGGTTGTTTAGAGACTCAGAGAAGCGGGGGATAAAGAGAAGATGGACAGTGTTTAAGTAGTCCCAGTGAAGGAAAGAATCAGGCGGTAGTACCTGAGTACGGCAGAAAAGTTTGTAGGTTACCAGCTGCTAGATACAATCCGGTGAGCTGTTGAGGGGCAACAGTAAATGTTATGAAGTAATCTTTGAAAGAATAAACAGGAGCAACTGCTGTATGCCGCCCTTAAAAATACAACTGTAAATAATTGTAACTTGGCAGTTTCGACAGGCGTCATAAGGTTAAGCAACCTTCGCGTGTCAGAAACTACCTGAGATACATATGGACCACATGACCGATGTGTCCTTCTTAGCTAGCAGATACATATCAAAAAGGTCTGTGCTAAAGATTTTGGAAGTTTCTATGGAATTAAGTTACTTAAGTACGTGTAGAGAAAATAGCTTTTTGTATATATTAGACCGATATTATATTGAGTACAGGTTCAAATATCTAGAAGGGAACTAACACACATATATACCTAGTGGAATATAAACATGATTCATACCTAGGTAGATTCTTAATCAATAATGCTAGGTGGTACTTAACCTAGTTGCCCTATTGAATGATGCTGTATAGGTAGGTACCTAAAGAGTAACCCAATGACTCAATTACCCGTTTCCCACGACAATAGGGAATGATTCATAATTTGGCTATCAAACAAGCGGAAGTCGCGGAATGAGTTGTCCAGGATTGAACGGTGTCATCAAATAATGGAAGTATAATATGCGTATAAGTGCAACTCTAGGTTAATTGATTGATAGGTATGCAATAAATCCAATTTTTTGGTTGGTTGTTGCTTTAGCTTTCAGAGACTCTAAACATACCTGGATTCTTACTTTAGTATCGCCTATGCAAAGTTAACTCTGGCATCTACTGTTAAGGGGACTATGACACAGATTTCCGTAGTCCATTGAGTGTAACTATATATCAATGAGTACCTAACCTAGGGTATATGGGATCTGCTTTGTTTGTTTCTGACAATATAGCGTGGTAAGGAGTGTACTCCTTAGAACGACTTTGACTACAATAAGCGACCAATCTAGACAAATTTATCCGATATGTTTATTCAATGTCCTATCAGAGAATATCTATAGATGTAAGTAGTTAAAATGTATTTGCGAAGGACGTGCCAGTCTTGTTCCCTTCCGCACTGATGCATATGTACCTTCCAGTCTAATATGTTCATCTAGTTGATCGTCTTCGCCCCTGTCTTTCAAAGAGTATTTTATGCCGTGACTAGCGCATCTAGTTCTCAGTCTCGGTTTCCGAATCTTCACCGTCAATTCTCTTGCTGTTAGGTGGTGGTAGGTGTGCCATAAACAAGACGGCAAAGCCAAGTACAGCAAACCCCTGGGTAAACGTCAGCAAGTACAATATTATACTAGAATAGGGGTCTAAGACATACGGCGTTGCAGAAAAATGTTAAGCTCGGCTGGCCGAGTTCGGAGAAGAAAGCAAGGATTAAGCCGAAAAGTCCTTGTGTCAAGAGCGTGGCTGTGCTCTCTACTAGAGTGATGGCGCTGATGGCATCTTGTCGTTGTTGCGGGGGACATAGTTCGGTCATGACCCCCTTGGCTGCCGGTGCCGATCCCGAAGCAAACGGCAGTAAAAAGCCAGCTATCAATTGTCAATTTCGTCTAGAACCTGTGAAGGAGATGTGTGGACATCTTACCGAGATACACCTGCCAACCCTCCGTTGAGAAGCCTGCAATGACTGTCACTATTGAGTCGACGACTAAACTCCACCTGACAAAGAAGAGGTCAAATCCGGTACCGGAATCTTCTTCATCCTCAAGGGGCTGTATTGGTTCTTGTGGTACTTCTCCAACCTCGTCGGCTTCGAAATCCCCTGGGTTAACTGGAATATGAACTTCTACTCTGTGTTCTCTGGTTTCCGCTGGCGTTGGTGCGCCATTGAACCAAGCCCGACCGGAAGATATGATCTTCGGGAACATGAGGAGTAAGAATATACCGCGGATAGCCGCGTTACCGAACATAAGATATCCGTTCTCACTAGTGCCGAAATCGAATTCGGAAGTGGCGTACATCTGCAGGAGAATCGGGACATATCCGGAAGAAAACTGCACGATAATTAGAGGGTTAATAAAGAGAAGCGTACATTTCTAATATTTTGACTTACGACACCGAGGAAAATACCTAGGGCGAGGAAGATCAAGCTGTAATTCTTGATGATCTTGCCCGACTCTAAACGGTAGGAATGAGGTGCGATCATCTTTATAGGTGCGAAGAAAGCACTAATGCCCCGGCCATTTTGTTTTTTACTAGCGGCCTCATCGCTTGCTCCCGTTGGTAAGAAAAGTGCTCCGTATAGCGAAGAAACCACATAGAGGAAAAATGCGGTCTCAAAGGGGCGTCTAATATTGTAGATATCGCCGAGTAGGCCTCCCACTATAAAAGTTGTCAATTCAATGTGCTGATAATGCAATTGTCTCCTTGGACTTACGTAGGAAACCAAATGCAGTTCCTAACATGATCGACCCCTGTAGCCGACCAAAAACGGCCGTGCGGTCTTTGGGCGCGACCAGCTCACTCACCGCGGTGTTGAGAACTAGCCTACATTGGTTTAATTAGTACTCCTGGAACAGAATCGGGGATCACGATTATACGCACTGAAAGCCGCGGGGTCCTCCAATGATACCTATAGCTTGACAAGCTTGGAAAATGATTATACCTTCCCGGCCACCGATTGTCACGGCGACAATCTGTGTACATACCCTCAAACCTAGAAGTACAGTCTGGGAGACGAAAGCCCATCGCGGACCCCAAAGTTTGATAAAGTAGCCACATATAAATAAGTTGAAAACGCCGCTAAAGGACGTTGACATGCCTAGGATAGATATCTGAGTCGCAGTACCAGCACTAATCTCTCGGCGATGACATCGATCGCCGGGTCCCTCAAACGGGGGGTTGTGACTATAGAAGACATCGCATTCCATAAGACGGAACACATAATTGATTCTGACTTCATAGTCAGTATCGAGTTCGTGGTTTTTGGTTTACATTGAGATTGAGATTGACATGAATGCCGAGGCGGATAGGTAGTGGTTGTTCTTACGGAACTTGTGTGATGCCGAGGGTGAAAGCCATCATGAAGCCGGCAAGGAGAATGCGGTTTGCGGGACCGAAAAGGGTACCAGCGGGCTTGGCGGGCCTGTTTGTCCTCGGAGGGGCCGCATTTTCGAGTAACGGCGATGTCTCATCTGCTGCCATGAGTATCGATTCCTCCGTGCTGTAAGACGGATCCAAGAAAATCTTGTATTAAGATGTCTCGGGGACAAAGAGGAAGCGAGCCCAATGCCTGAAAAGTTTACCTATAGCGATTGAACCATCCAATGGGGAATGCGTCCGGTCCCCGCTGCCTTTTGTAGCGGTCTGACTGATAAGACTTGAAGACCTTGTAAGTTCGGTGCAAGTGATCCGCCGACACTTGTCCGATGCATGCGCGATTGCATCGGCATTGTCATAGGTCCTAAGCGATAAGAATGATAAGGTATTACTTGTCCATGCCGTTCATAATTAATATAATCATAACTGGCTTACTTATGCTGGACCAGTAGATTTGTAACCTAGTACGTTTTATACTATTTACCGGGGTCGCATTTTAGTCTTATTGGTACAAAACGTGCCTAGCCATTGTTTCTCCAATTGAGATTTTGGTATAGAGCAAGTATAAATAGAAACACGCTTCTAACTGCGTCGTGTCAAAGTTGAGTTGTCTGGTTGTCTAGTGTAAGTTATTAACATAGACTAACTAGTGCCAAATCCTTAACCGTAACTCATCTCACAAACCCTCAGGAGTCAGGACTATCATGTAGGTTTACCATGTATCATTAGTAGCATGATATCGCATATTTAAAGAGTCGCGCGAGGAGTCCATGTCAATACTTTCTCCATGCCCTTTTTAGCCCCCAAATCTGCCTCCATCGTGGGTCTAAGGCTGAAAGAAGCTTGGCAACTCGCGTGTTGGCTCCCCTCTGTCTGAATCCTTCTATAGACCCATAGTAACATCTGTGTACTATCGTTTCGGGTAGTTACTATAAATTCGGGTCTTATGGCTTCGCGTCTATGTAACTCAAATTCGCCTGCTAGGCTATTGCATTGAAGAATATCACTTGACGACTAGGGGTTGTAAGAAACTTTGGAAGTCCTATGTATTGTACAATACATAGTGAGGCGCCATGTTTTAAAGCTATGATCGCCAAGAAACCAGGCTAGTACCCGACAAGGGATTTCATCCATAATATTACACGGCAACCATAACATGTTCTCAGCTCCCGGCGCAGTAGGATGTGGTGGAGCCATATCTCTTTCGTAGAATTCACATAGTAATCTGTTCTAGCCACTATGTATACCTAACTACCTATATAGGAGACCGTAATCTTCAAACCTGGTAGAAATTTCTATCAAGCTACCTAAATGCATTTGCATCTAGCTTACCACTCTCGACATGTTTTCACCATATAGACGGCTCCGAGCCTGGCCTGAACAGCCGCTTCCATTAAGAAGTGGAGTGTCTCGCCCAAACAAGATAATTTATAATTTTATTCTTATACTCTTGACGATCGCCTGTTTTGTCTTCGCAGGTCTTCTTGGTCGCTGCGATGGCATGCTGAGCGATGCCGACCTTGTTCAGAAGTTGGTAGAGGCATCCCGCTATGTAAGACACGACTATCCTATAATTATTATAACACAACAACGCTGACCGAGTTTTCCATTTCTAATCCAGGGCCCTACAATATTTCCTGTGGTCTACGCTCTTGTCGTGGGCGGCGCTTTGCGTTCCCTAGCACTATGGAGGTTACAAGACGGAGAGAAGGTCAGCTTCCTAGACCTCCTCCTAGGCAGTAC